GGCGCCGCCACCATCCACGAGAACCCTACCTGGCCTACGAGGAGCAGCCGACCGCGGATTACGTGGCGAGCATCCTCCAGGCAATGCCGGCGCCTCTAGACATACGGCGGCCGACGCCGAACAGCGTCGTCGCCGACCTACGTGGCGGGGCCGGGGAGGGGCCCGATGTACGCGCTGCGTGCCGACATGGACGCGCTTCCATTGCAGGAGGAAAGTGGCGAGCCGTTCAGCTCAAAGCGGCCTGGCGTGATGCATGCTTGCGGCCACGATGCGCACACAGCAATGCTTCTCGGGGCCGTAAAGGTCCTTTGCCAAGTGAAGGACAAGATTCGCGGCACCGTGCGGTTTATCTTCCAGCACGCGGAGGAGGTAATCCCCAGCGGTGCAAAGCAGCTCGTACAGCTTGGTGTGCTTGAGGGAGTCGAGATGATCTTCGGACTTTCTGTTGACGTCACGAAGCCGACTGGCACAGTTTTGTGCAGAAGCGGTGTGATGATGAGTGCCTGCAATGACTTTGACATAGTGATCAAGGGCGCAGGCGGGCACGCCTCCCAGCCCGAGCTCTGCACCGACCCCATCGTGGTTGCCGCCGAGGTGGTCACGAGCCTGCAGACGGTTGTGTCGCGTCGCATCGGGGCCCTGACAGCTCCGGTGCTCAGCGTGACGACTTTTCATGGCGGGACGGGGAGCTACAACGTGATCCCCGACACGGTCCACCTGCGCGGCACGCTGCGCTGCCTGGACCGCGATGTTCAGGCGCGCGTGCCCGGCTTGATGGAGGAGATTGTTGCCGGCGTTGTGAAGGCGCACGGCGCTCAGCATGAGATGAGTTGGCTGGAGCCCAACATCGTCACTTACAACGACCCAGCGGCGTATAGTGTTGTTAGGAATGTTGCGGAGCGGGTGGTCGACGGTGTGTCTTTTGTTGACCTCCCGACTGCAATGATGGGTGTGGCAGACTTTTCCGAGTACGGGGCTCTGGTACCGGGGTGTTTGTTCTGGCTTGGCGTGGGGGGTGAGAGCGGGGGTGCCGCAAGCAACCACAACTACAGCTCGCGGTATTGCATGAAGGAGGCGGCCATGGAGAAGGGTGTGAAGATGCATGTGGGTTTGGTGGCTACACTGTCAATGTTGAATGGCAATTTTACAGGTTAGGGTGCTTCCTTCCGCTGCCTCGTTTTCGTTTTTCTGCGTGTGTCGGTGGAGTAGCGGGTTCCCTTTCTTGCGCGTGTGCGTGTGCGCATTTTTCCAGTTGTATTTTGACCTGTGGCCATCTCATTCTGTGTTGACTTGCGCTTTTTTTTTGTTGTGTTTTTCTTTTCGCTGCCGTGCAACAACCATCGCTTCTCCGCCGGACGTGATAACTGTTAACATAATTCGGCGCGGGCGTCGTTGTCGTTACTGTCGTAATTTGCACTGGAGCAAGAAAACAAGAACCAAAAAGGGGAAGGGGGTGGGGGGTTTTGGGGAAATGAACGCGTCATCGCCCTCCTGCCGTGTTGTGCGTGTCCCGGTTTTGTTGGAAGCTGACGGGCGGAGGGTGCGACCGGGGCGGCAAAATAGTTGCTGGCGGCTCGTGTGCAGCTCCCCTGTTGCTCTGCGTACAAATTGTTTCACTTTTCCTTTCCATGAGGCCACGCTCTAAGACAGTGCGGGTGCACTTCTGTTCCTCCCGCTCCAGCCCCCCACTGCTGCCGCTGCTGCTGCCTTCCACGCGGAAGGAGTTCTGGCGGTCGCCGGGCCACACGGACAGCCACTTCGTCGGTTCCCCCAGAGGCGTCGGTCATCGTAAGGCGCCGCGTGAACACCGCTGCGGCATCGCCGTGTACGAGGGGCTTACCCCTCCTCTGAAGTTTCGGGGGACGTTGGGCACGCACCGAACCCCAAAATCCAACCTCTCTCTCTTTCTTTCCTTCTTTCTCGCTGTCTTTCTTTCTACAGGAAGAGGGGACAAGGGCGCATCCAGGGGCAATATTCTCTTCTGTCCTCTGCCGTGCCGGTTCACTTTTTTTTTAGCAATGCGGGCTTTTTTCTCTCCCACTCATGCATGTCTGAGCGGCGCTATTTCGGCGTCCCTTCTGTGCCGCTCTCTGCTGTCGGAGGCGTCGATGCGGTCCGCCTTTCGCCGCAGCTGCGCCGCGGAGGGTGTGGGGCTTCACGAGGGAGTGTCGGAAGATGTTTTGGCGTCTGCCATTGTCGACCGCGGGGTAACTTCTCTGGCGGACGCCAAGGCGCAGCTGCGGTCGTCGTCGGCCTTCCGCATCGACGCCGGCGTCGTCTACCTGGCGGCGGACGGCGACTGCGAGCGAAGCCAGCTGGAGTCAATGCTTCTGAGGGTGGCGGCGAAAATACCCGCGTCGGGGGTGAGCGGGTCGCAGCTCCAGGCGATACTGGAGGACGAGGCGCCGCACTTTCAACCTTCCGTCGTGGGGGCGCTTTCCCTCAAGGACGCGGTTCGAAGCTTCCCACACATATTCCTTCTGGAGTCGGAGCCCGCGGGGAAGTGGACGGTCAGGTCTGTTGCCAGTGCACTCCCCGGCGCGTCCGCGTGCGGTAAAGGCGGGCCGCACGGCATCGTTGACTTCTGTCGCAGGAGGGCTCTGATGGGGCACCAAGGCGCCTATACGCCTCTGCGCCTCGCAATGCAGAAAACAGGTATCACAGAGAAGGATCTACTAAAGCAGCTGGTGATGAATGAGGAGGTGGCGAGGGTCCTGCAGGTAAAGCTGTCCGTTCGCCTGAGACCCAAGCGTGCACCTACAAACGCCTTTTGCTTCGTTGACGGCGACGAAATTGGTCCAGCCGCCGTGGAGGCGATGGGAAAGGGATTAACCCTCTCGGATAAATCCACCCGCGTTGTGGCCCGTCACCCGGCCTCCCCAAAGCACAGCAGCGCCGACATCATTGTGCCTGAGGAGATGCCCACGTATGCTGTTTTGGAGCTCAAGGCAAGAGAGCTGCTGCTGCGCCAGGCGGTCATCCTCCAAGACGTCATCTACATGTGCTCCTCCAACCAGTTCACGGTGTACGCAGAGAAGGTGGCAAGACTAAATGCGTTCCCCGATGCAGACGTGTACGTCTGCTGCCCGAGTAGGGTGAAGTTGGTGGCCGAAAAACAGCACGTTCCACTGTGAGGCCGTCGTCGTGCGGTGCACCTTCTGCGCACATCGGCACTACTATTGCTGCTCCTGCTTTTGTTCTTGTTGTTGTTGTTGTTGTGTGTATGTGGGGAGGGTGTGTGTGAGAGAGAGAGAGAGAGAGAGAGGGGAGAAGTTTGCACGTCGTCCTCTTTGCCTGCTGCTACCGTTGTTTGTTACTTGTTTGTGTGTTTGTTTCTTTCTTCTTTTTTTACTCGCGCCTCGAGTGCTGGACTGTGGTGCCTCTTCCTTCTCCTTCTTTTCCCTTCCAGGGAGTAATTGTGTCCGGCAACGATGCTGCAGCGCTGCGGGCGGCTGTATTTCAGCAGGACGCCGCCGTGGCTTGCCGGCGATGTGGTTGCCCTTTTCGAGCGGTACACGGAGATTGAGAACTCCAACGAGCGACGGATTAGTGCACTGAAGGCGTGCGGCATGTTTG